CTGTAGAAATACAAGTGATTGTTTACTTTGATCTTGCACCTTGCAATATTGCTGAACTCTTCCATTAGTTCTAAGTATTTAATGGCTGAACATTTTTTTGTATGCTTTTAATCCTTTTAAATTTATTGAGGCTTGTTTTATGGTTTATCCTGCAGAATGTTTTGTGTGTATTTGAGAAGAAAGTGTTTCCTGTTATTGGGTGAAATATTCTATAAATATCTTTCAGGTTTAAACTGCTGTTTAAGTATTTCCTTATTGATCTTCAACCTACTGGCTCTATTCATTCTTGAAAGTGTGATATTGAAATCTGTTATCTGTGTTGAGTTTTTCTATTTCTCCCTTCAATTATGTCAGTTTTTACTCCATGCATTTTGGAAATCTTCCTTTAGGTTTATATGTTTATATATTTTTTATTTTCCTAATTTACTGAGCATTTTATCATTATAAAATACCCCTCTTTATTTGTAGTAATAACTTTTTTTTATCTCAAACTCCATTTTGCCTGATACTGATATAAGCTATTTTAACTATCTTATGGTTGCTGATTATATGCATATCTTTTTGCAGCCTATTACTCTCAACCTATTTGTATCTTTGGAACTAAAGTATGTTTCCTATAGAAAGCATACAGGTATACAATCGGGTCTTTTTTGTTTGTTTGTTTGTTTGTTTGTTTGTTTGTTTGTTTTATAGTCCAGTTTTATAATCTGTGCCTTTTGATTAGGTTGTTTAATTTATTCACATTTAATTTTATTATTATTAATTATTATATAGACACCAAAAACTTAGGAACAGTAACTCCACAAGGGTCCTACAGAGTGCATCTGTTATGAAAATAAAAGTAAATAAATAACATAACGTAACATAACATAAATATCTAGAAGTAACATTGGTCATCATTTTTAATTGTTATGGTGCTTAGAATGTATTATACACAGAAGAGAAGAGAAGATTGCACTGGGTTAAATCAGTTGTTTGATTACATCTTGCATTTGGATTAACTTAGAATGATGTTTCAATTATAGTCTGATTCCATGAATATTCATTTACCTTATCCCAATGTACCATAGTTCAATTTACTTTTTAAAAAGTATTAAAAAGGATTTAAAAAAGTCATAGCCTTATTTTTATTTTATTACTGATAGAAATTCAGACTTAGTTTATAAGCATAGAAAGAACTAAATTTTCAAGCATTTTATTTTTAGACTATAACAGAATCTGTAGAAACACTGCCCACATATAAAGACATGTAAACACCCTATCATTTCTAAGTTCACACATTTTTCTCTCCTCAGCTGCATATACTGAAAAAGTTAGAAAATGAAGTCTTTTGGATCACATTACCCTTATTTAGCACTGCCATGAAATTATTATGAATTCTTTCTAATACATATGCCTCTTATTCATTTTTCTCAGTTTCCTTCTTTCACTAAGACCTCCAGTGCAGTATTGATAAATACTGAAGATAAATTATTCTTCTCTTATTCCTAATGAAAAAGCTAATAATGTTTCACCTTTATTTTTGTTTTGATGCAAGTTTTTTATGTTTATTTTTATTGTGTTAAAATATACATGCAATAGGATTTACCATTTTAACCATTTTTGAGTGCACTATTCTTTGGCAGTAAGTGCAATCATAATGTTGTACAACCTTCACTACTATCTATTTCCAGGATATTTTCACCGTCCCAGTCAGAAACCCTGGTGATTTTCTGAAAGAAGTCTGGGCTGGAAGTAACATTTTTGAAGAAGAGCAGCATGGGTGAGTGTATAGTAGCTTTATGGGCAAAGTGTTAAGGAATCAAGAGCAAGGAGCAAATGAATTTGGTTGACAGGTTTGAGAAATTACCTGATATGAAATAAATGTGTCTTTGAAACATGAGTGTATTAGCAACAGGTGAAGAAAGTAGCACAGCATATCAAAGGCAATAGAAAGATTATAAACAAAGACCAAGAGGAATTGAAGATCATGTTATGTTTACAAAACTAGGCAATCCAGTAAACAATGGGTGAGGAGAGTAGATGAAATTGCAAGAAGCAAGATTTTAGAGGATTTTGAAAATCACATTAGAGTTCGACTTTATCCTATTAGTCCCAGGAAGTTGATTTGCTATATTTCACCTGTTGCATGATATGAAAATAATGGAAAGGATAACTCAGTGAGTATTTTAGAAAGCCTCAGTAGCACCTGGCAATCTCTGCAGTGCCACAGTCCCTCAGTCACCTTTCTCATCTGCCTTGCCATCATCCCCTTTCAATCTGCTCTGCTCAGCAGTCCTCTCTACGGCACTTCTTGGGTTGCGCAATCTCCTACTCAAAACGACCAGTGTTCCTTGCCCATAAGTGAAAGAAAAATAATTCTGTCTACTTAACTTGGCATTTAACTTCTGCAGCTCAATGAAGCCTTATTAGTACTTAAGAAATGAACTCAAATATCCCCTCTTTAGTTAAGAGGCATCAAAATGTTTAACAAGATGCACTCTCTTCTAAATCCTCATGGTATTTTGGCCACATTTTTTTTTTTAATGTGGGGACTTATTTTATATATTGCCTCCCATGTAGGATCTCCATTAGACATCTCTTCTGTCTTCATTTCATATCCACATCTCTCATAGCACTAGTTATAGTCTTTCATAGACTAGATGCTTAAAAATGTTTATTGAATTAATGAATTAATATACCTGTTTGTGTTCCATTTTACACGGCATAAAATTCAAACTTTTACAGTGGCCTAAAATGCCTTGCCTGACATGGGATGTTTATCTCTCCAACCTCAACCACTGCCGATTACCTTTTCATTGGCCATTTGAAACAACTTTGTGCCCACACCTTGGGCTTTTATATTCACTGCTTCCTCTGTAGTATGTTCCACTACCAAGTGAATCATCAGCTGTTGCTTCCAATCATTTAGACCTCAGCCTCCCAATGAGGTTTAAACTGAATATCCTAATATAAATTGTCATCCCCTCCCAATTACAGTCAATTATATCAGGTATTTTCTTTTGTTTTTCTATATGATCATTACCTACATTTCATTTTAGACTTTTAAATTATTACTTATTTTTACTGTTATTTACATTTTTTGAAATGTTGGTTAAGTTAGACGAGATATAGTGTCTGGCTTGGCCACCCAAGTATTCCTCAGGTGTTTTTCAATCTTAGTACCCATTCTATACATGTTTGTTGAATGAGTTACCCATTTATACCTTTCAAATTCTTCTAACTAAATCTAAAATGCATACTACACTGGAGATGGGAATACAAAAAGTGACTTAGTAATTTCTTTCTGCCAAACTTAGTTTCTCCCAAACCTACCTCAGGGGATCAGCTGATCAAATTAGTTTAGAGGGATAGCCTGTTTAAGGGTTCATAAAATATCCAATGGGCATACTGATCAAATCAGTCCTTCCCACTTGTAATCCACCAATGGTCTGAAATTCCCAAATCAATTATCATTCCATTTGAGAGAACATGCTGACATGACTTGAAAAGCAATCCCAGGAACTGGTTTTGACAGCAGCTAAAATTATATACATTAACTGTAATATATTTCTGTAATTGTGCTATTTCTTTTCATTTTAAAATGTTAT